CGGGCACGGCTGGGGACAGCTGGACACGCCGGGCAGCGCTCGGCTCGGCCAATAACGGGAAATAGCGCACACAAACTCGCCTTTCAAATGTCCCTCGCCGAGAGCAGCATCACATTTGACAGAATGTTTCTRCCTTCACTAAAATCTTAACTGGCCATTTCTAAAGTATTAGCAGCTTATCTTTTAGCTTTGTTTTTAAATGTTTGGTTTTTGACAATTAACCAGTCTCACAGGTTAACATTGCCCCCAAAATAGCAGCACTTAATAGCAAAAATATCTACTATTAACTATGCTCAATAGGGAGTAATACAAAAGAAAGGCTCAAGTGCAAAACTACTGCAGACACAGTTTACTCTTAACAAAGTTAGGAATAATTATTGATCCTAAGAATCAGTATCTAGATATTGTAGACCAATGCCCAGATTTTATAGTTTCACATACAAAAACCTTTAAAAAAAGCTGAGGACAAAGCAAGCTTATTCTCCTGAGCAGGGATCTCTCAGTCTTCTGGTTTGCACAAAAAAGCCCTCTCTGAAATGCACAGATATAGGCTACAGGTGATGTTACTAGACCTCCTTTCCTTGGATAATTTCACAATCAGATTGAATAATTAAGATGTGCTTTGAAACTAYTTATTCTAATGCCAATTACCAAGTTTCCGGCAATTTAGAAAACTGAAAAAGAAAATCAAACACCTGTCCAATGGCTTCATTGGGTAAAGGCAAACATTTTAARACTTATATTACAAATAGCATGTTAATATTCTCTTGGACTTCTGGATCAGATCCCTTCGGTTTTTTTAAGGTGTTTTAAGATGAATGTTTTTTCAATTTTCTCTAATAGTTAAAACATTCAGATATACTAATATTAAACAGATTAAAAAAAAACTATATACTATTGGATTCAGAGTAACCCTTAGCATAGGAACTGTACACTTCCTATGAAATTAAAAAACAAACATGTTTTTAAGCAGTCATATTCATTGCCTCTACTTTGCCAATTTTAAATGCTCAAGGAAAAAGTGGAATTGTTATGAAATATACTGTATATTGGAATAAAAGTATCTGTTGAGTTCTGAAGCAGAAACACAACATTTATAAAGTAGGAAACACACATACTTAAAAATCCAAACAGGTAAGTGTCTTAAKACTTTTCAGTAAAGAACACAGGTTCTAGTACAAACAAGTCTGTGGGAAAAACGTTCCAACTGAACTAAGATCTTCTTACCAAACTGATCCCCTCTTTACAGTCCTGTTTTTCCTTGATCTAGGGAATTATCATTTGATGTATTTATTATCTGCATAATGAAAAGCAAAGGCAAAAAAATAAAATCACATTTTTAACTGCTGAAAATTATTACTGTATAATCACATGAGCCAAGACTATTAGTATGCAATTAAAGGGACAGGAAGTAGAAAAAAATGATACTTGGGTATCGAAATCCAAGTCCTTTCACTAAAATATCAGCCTTAAAAAACCCACACTGCACTTAAAAATATCCCCAGTGTACAAAGTCACTCTGTCAGCTGTACATGAAAGCTGCCAAATAAAAGTTTAAGYATTAGCTTAATTAGAATAATAATTGCTAATTACTCAAAGCGTGTCTCTAAAAATGCACCAATTTTATTACATGGTCATAGCTTATTAAATGTCGAATTCCCTTTTAATTAACTTTGTAGCTGCTTTATTTATAAGTTTGCATATATATTGGTTTGGAGGGGAAAGAGGGAAAGGCAGTATTAGAGAAAGACAAAATAATTGCATCATTCTTGCTTTAGAAGTTCTACACCTCTATTTTCCCTGGCATATGTTGTATCTCCARTTTTCCCAACTGATGGACTTTTCAGCCCAGCTCCTGCTGACTACTGCTCAAACTGTGAGGAAATTCCATCTGCAGAAAGCGCATTAACCCCAGGAGATGGAGAGTGAAGCAGTTGAAAAAAATCTCAGCTCTGTAGCAACAATGCATTTGGCACTCACATGAGTATCCTGGAGGTCCAAAAATTTCTGGATAGCTGCTCTTGGCTAAAAGCCCAAATTAAGTCTATTTCTGACTTGATATGGAAGACCCCCCAGTCCTGTAGCTACTGCAAACAGCTGGGGAGGTGAGAAGCAGACAGAAGTTACTGTTGGCCTTTAAATGTCAATTTAAAAATTATTTTCTGTCTTTATTAGAAAGAGTWTTTTGATATCTCAAGTTCTGTCATATACCACTCACCAGAAATCCAAATCAAAATGAACACTGTTTRCAAGCAATAACCTCAGGAACTACAACATGTAGATAACATGGAAATTTAACACTAACTACAAGAGCAGTCCCTATAATGACTGTGAAAACCAAGGATAATGGCCTCTGTTTCAAAACTTAGCATTTCAGAATTCTAAGACTTCTCAAAAAAGTAGAAGATTAAAACCATTGTGGCTTAGCAGCAGCAAACCTGAAATATACAAAGAAATAACACGCCTCTTCAAATGTTTTAACTTTGTATTTCTTAGGACTTGGWTTTAGTTCTTACAAGTACAACTCAAGACAGATATTTACTCACTGCCCTAACCTGCTCTGTATTATAAATATTGGCTAAGGATATTTAACTCATTGAAGTGTTGTATTTTATAAGGAAAAAGGATCTCAACTGAGAAGTACATGTTCACAAGTATGAAGCTGATAAAGCACAGACAAACACACATGAGGTTTTGGCCTTTAATGTAAATAGTGGGCTGCAAAAAACTACAAACAGTCTATGTTTTACAAGCTAATGTATATTTATAATGCACAACTCAAAGTGCTACTCACAGACTATTTTTAATACAAATAATATTTTAGATTTTAGAGGCTTTAATAGTAGCACAATAATGCATTATTTCCAGGAGGATTTATGTATTTTATCTGGAATATCCTTTAGTTAAAATAAAAGAGGTATCCTGCACCTCTATGTATCATTTGCACCCAGAAAGTACAGCTGTACTTTTACTTAATATTTTCTTTTTTAAATCCAAACTGTTTTGAAGTTGGGATTTGTTTTTCCCTCCACACTCCATTATGAAAGCATAAAACAATGTACAGGCTTGCTTCACAAGCTACCACCAACTAATCCAAGAACTAAATTTAGAAAAGCAGAGAGGAGAAACACTAAACTTGAAATTGTGATTTAAATGAGCTGCATCAGGAAATATAACATTTGACCATAAACAGATATAGTTCACAGCTTTTTGTTATTTAAATGGAGGAAGGGAGGAGAAAGATCCTTGCCCTACTGCTTTAAGAGTGGAATTGCACACAGATTTTTAAAACAGATCTCAGTTGCACTCTAATCAGAAAACCAGATGTGTTGCCTGCTTGTAGAGTTAATCATTATTTATCAGGACTGTTCAGACCTTTAGCTCAGCTTAAGAGTAGTTACTCAAAATGCAAAAGATAAGCATTGACATTCAAAACTGACGGAGAAAAAACAGTGAGTAGTGACAAATGCAAGTGTCATCCACGTGAGGTGGACTACATTAACATATAATGGCAAAACCAGTGGTTTCTTCACTTTTTTTCATGTTATACCCCATTTTTGCTTTTACTACCATTATTTGTAATGTAGTAAATAAATGTACATGCAATTTAAGTTCTATTAAACAGCTAACAAAATATGATTTCAAGAGTTCTGTGGAGGGTAAAAGCTCATACACTACCATCCTAGCAACGGTAAAGTTTTTCTAGAATGAAGATGCTCCATAAAGGAATGTAAACTTGCCAAGTCAGATTCTCCATTCCATGGAGGAAGGAGACCCAGAAGCGCTAACCAAGCTGACACTTGCTTTTTGTATCCTGGAATATTCCTTTCACAATTCCCACCATTTTGCTTCCCCAGATTCAGATWTAAAAAATAAAAAAACTGAAAAAAATATTGTAGCTCATCTCAACTTCTCCAAACTTGCAGGATTTCAAACACAGACCTATTAATCTACTGGCYCAAATGTAACACAAAGTTTTAGATACTCAGGAACAAGAAATTAAATAAATTGACCTTATCATGCCAACCACAAACTGCAAGAAAAATTAAGCCATGTAAGAAGTGTATGTAACTATACATAACCACAAAGAGTTACCACATGGAGCAAACTGAACAGAAGGGGAAAGGCTACAAGAAGATTTAAAGCAGTAATGGATCCCAGTATCTAAACCACTGTAATCAATAATTTGTAACTAATAGTTGCTACAGACCTTACATATAAAAACCTGGAATTTAATTCTATTTGAAGACATTGAAAAAACATGACTTGCTTTGAAACAAGCACACAAACACAACAATAAAGACAAAAATGTTGAATGTACCTTGTATTTGGTCATGGTGCTAAAATGGTTGTTTCTGAAGAACACACAAAGCTCTCCCTCCTGGACAGCTGAAGTCAGCTCACACAGTCCATGGTATGTCAATTGTGTAGCTGTGTTATTTAGAAACTGCTCAGCTACAAACCCTACAAAAGCAACACATACTGTTATGTGTGTCTATTACACACTTGCTARTGTAAGAGCTGGTAACAATAGCAGTATTTTTCCCCCAAGTAAGATGCTCCCACAGTGCCACATTCAGAGAGGGGACAAGTTTCAAAGTCCTAAAACCACAGCATTGTAGACAAACCTTCTCATGTTTAGAAATGCTATACCCACTTCTAATATTACTAATTTTTTCCTTGTTGTAATGAAGTATATAATTCATATTCTAATTATAGGAGATAATACACAGCTGAGTTGAAATCRGAATGCTGCCACAATAGGGGAAGCTCTTGCCAGCTTTTGAAAAAGTGTATTGAACAGATCAAGAGAATGCATCAGAGAAGTTGCAAAGACAAGCACAGTGCACTGTGCCTGCCCAGGGAAAGCAGCTCAGCACACAGAACGCAGCTCTTCCCATTTGTATCTCTAAACAGCATGRCCCACATGGAAAATATGTAACTTAGATTTGGTAGAGCACATACTTTGATAAAACACAGAAAAACATTACCCACCTTCACTGACCAGTTCACTGTTGTCTGACTGTTTACAAGAAATGATCTTCTCCACCAGCTGATTGTAACTGCAGTTACCAACTGCTTTTACTATGTCAGCAACCTGCAGCAGGAAGGAACAACACAGAGCATTTACCTTTGCAAAGGACAAAACACAACTGCAAGCCAACGGCAATTACTAATAAGACAACAAGAATTCAACAAAGAGAGATGTTATCCCCTTAATAAATCTAGGCCAAAAACTAAGCCGAGTGTTACACATTTTGCTGTCTCAGATCCTGTTTCAAATCCTTGAGTTAACCYTTAGCATCAAAAGCTAAGGCAAATGGAGGAGAGAACAGAGCATGAGTTGGATCAGCTGGGCCAGGGTAAGAGAACAGCAGCCCTCACCGACAAGGCATGAGAAGAAAAACTCTCAGGCATTATTATACCAGCCAAACTCACCAGTTTCCCCCTTAGTAAACAGTACTACTTTACTGTTTATTAAATAATGTAATTAAAAATAAATTACATRTTTGCAAAGATGCAGTTCTCTCCAACCAGTTCTACCATCCTCATTTTTCAATAGCAGTGACTAGAAAATCAGAATTAAGAAAGGAGGAAAGTAACTTTGTATTCCTTCTAAGCATTCTCTGACAAACTTTCAAAAATGAGGACTGGGACATTATATCTGGCAASTTTTACCTCCCTCAGGAAAACAATTCTCCTTTACACACTTGTACAAGGCTTTTAAAGTAGTTTGACCACAGACCCAGTATTTGCAAAGTTCCTGCTAAAAACCACACTGTATTCACTGCTCAAATTTTCTGACTACATTAAAAAAATTCATTACCATAATCYTTACTGGCTTGTTAAAATCCTGAAATATCCCCCCTCCCACCAAAACCATTCAGAATAACCTTTTGTTTGTAATTGAAACAGAGTAAGTTACCTGAGGGTCCACTAACCAGCCATGGTACAAGGGGATATCAAGAAGRTCAAACACTATGCACTCAGGTGTGTATTCAAATACTCGGACACCTGTGAACTTCACATTGACATCCAGACCCGTCTGCAGCTTATGGAGAATGGCCATTGCATCACTCATATTCTGACAGCAGAAAGGAAAAAAAAGAACAGATGACCAAACAGAGCTTTGTACACTTGGTGGTTACTCTTGTARTCCTTCATCATTCAGTACTCATCAATTCAACACTTCAAAATAAAAAAAAATTAAAAGGGTAAATTAACTAAACAACTGTTTCAATGCACATTCATGWTACACACTCTCATTGTGCCAGAAGATACATGAAAAATAAGAATAACCCTCCAATCACCTCTGTCTGACTGTTTCCTCTTCTACACCCRTAAGAGCTGCTTTTAGGCAGCTCTGATTACTTTTAGGTCTATTTTCCATAGCCACAAGCCAGATGTTTGCAAGAGAACTGAATTATAAGGGAATCTTCGAGGGACTTAAGATTTCTTCTCCACTTTTAAGCCCTCCCTTACAAGTCAGGCTGAAGTATTTGTCACTACATAATGAATGAACAAGAAGATCTACACAGATCTACTTGCCAAATCTAATTCCAAGGTTCAGTACTTAGAATCAMTACTCTTTTCTTTCATAAAAAAGTTCTGCTATCTTATTTTGGGCATACCTTTAAATGGCCTGTAGATTCTACTGTAGAAACAAGTMATGGAAGTAGCATTTATTATAGTAGTGATCCAAATGGAATCCTAAGGAGAATTATCAACTTATGATGTTCCAATCACAGAAAGAAAAGATGAGCCAAAGAAAACATGCTTTGTGAGACAGTTATCTTGAACCAACAGATAAAAAAAAAATTCCTGACATGCAGGAAAAAGAATTTTCCACTAAGTGAGAAAAGCCCACAAAGAGTATGATCAGAAAGTCTGTGCAAAAGATTTGGGGAAACTGAGGCACTTTTTTGTGTTTGTTGCAAAACCCMMAAAAATTCAATCTGTTGCTTAAGARGAATTCAGACCTACAACAATGGGAMAACAGCAGGACAAAAACCAGAAATACAGATTGGACAGGAGATGGAAACAGCAAAGATTCGCAGACTAAAAACCACTGATGACTAAAGACAGTTACTTCTGCTGTCTTCTCATCAGAATCTGCACTTAAGCATGGCTCTATAGAGTTTTAATGCTTACAGCCCTTTAACTGAAGTGTTCTGTCAAGTTTCTGTGACCAAGAACATAACAGCTCCTACTACCCTACTACWTGTTGCTTCATCCCACTGACAACCTTTCTATGTCACAAGACTTAGAATTTAGCAAGGCTTAGAAGTAATTCTCAAGGCTGGTTTTGATTTTTAAGTTTTTATAATTTTAAAAGCAAGCCAAATCACCTTAAGTGCATGTCATTAGTAGGGACCAGATATTAAACATAAAAATCTGTCAGAGATGTTTTGAAAGGAATTTTGCCATAATCTTACTCTACTAAATTAATCAGATGTCCATAGTAAGTCAGCACTAGCCATCTACAAATTCAAATCATACATCTACAGACAATAGTTGCATTTATTTTGTAATGTTTACTTTGCAAACAAAACAGGATTACATCAAACTGACCAGAAAACCACAGAAGTTTCTAACTACAATTTCGACATTATCACTTCTACTTTAGCTATTTCCAAACCTTCAAAACAACTTAGAAGATTTYTAGAACAGGTTTCTTTGAAATTACACAGTTAAAAACCTGAGGGATGTGACATTCATGTTGAAAGCCCATATATTGGAATGTTAGAAAGCTGTAGAGGTTGTACTTTCACCATAATAGTAGTAGGCATAATAGTTTCCATCGCCCTCCTGTAAGCTGATTATGGCTATAACCTTCTATAGCACAGAATTGTGGGGAAAGAAATAGCCCATTTTGTTATTAAGAAAGTAATWCCTATAATCTGATACAAATCAAATCTCAATTTGTACTCGATTTGGTAAAMCTTACACCTATCAAAATGTTCAAATCACTTTTCCATAAGTAACCAAAAAAACAGGCTAAGACTACAAACAGAGCTTGAAAAAAATGCTCCAAGATAAATATACATTAAATCAGTGTCTTTTTGAACCAATAGCATTATCTTCAGTATAAAAAGACTTCTGTGATGACATATAAATWGTGGCCAGTGCAAATGATATTGCCTTTTATAACATGACATCAACCTCTTGTCCATGACAATTAAGAGCAGAGATCTCTCTCTTGCTCAGTTTACATCCTCAGAGAAACTTTGGCAGGCACCACAGAACAGAGCACACTGAAGGACATATAAAAGATGACTTCAAAAAGCAATCACCCTGTTATATCCTTTTATTAGTATCTTTGTGTTGCAGTTCCTCAATAAAACCCAAATTATTTCACTCCCTTGTAACAGGCAAAAAAAAAAAGTATTGTGTTAATAGATACTGAGTTTTTCTTCACTAATAGTAAATATACAAAAATAATACTCTACATCAAGCCCAGAAAAACACTAACTACAAGCTACAAACAACAGTGTGTATGCTTCTGGTGACAAACCCTAGGTGAGAAASGTAGTTTTAGTTTTCCTCAGAAAAAAACAACTGTATTTTAGGAGCAGCTCCTTACCTGCTCATAATTAAGTCGCTGAATTTCAGATATCTCTTTAGGTTTTGCATCAAGAATGTAGTCTCCTAAAAGAAAACAAAAATGCAATTAAATTTATTCCATGCTCAAAGCTTCAACACTTCTAGGAGTACTTCTGACTAAAGCTGACTGATTGTTAATAAATGCCCTGACAGAAGTTTTCTAATAAATTAATGAGATTGCATTGTTTTATAATTGGAATTATAATTATGGAGAAAATATGACTACAAAAAACATAGTAAGATCATATTAAGAAATAAAATTCAAATGGCCAGTGTTACTAAAGCAGCATTTTATAATCTCTTGGAGTGTCATACTGATCTCTTAATTATTCAAAAATTGACCTCCCTCTGTGTCTCAAAAACAGAAAGGTCAAACTCTTCAGAGTAAGGTATATAACTCTGTACACCATTTTGAAAGGCAACCACCTACCCTGATACTGTGAATGTTTTGCCATGTTTCTTACACCACTCATTCTATAAGGCTTGTTGTTTTGGGTTTGACTGGGGTACTGTTAACTTTCTTCSCAGTGGYTGGGAYGGGACTGTGCTCTGGGTTTGTGCTGARCACAGGGCTGATAATACAGAGATGGTTTTGTTATTGCTGAGCAGGGCTCACACAGAGCCAAGRCCTTTCCTGCTTTTCACAGGGCCACGCAGGGAAGTGGGGATGGGGAGCTCAGAGGAGACAGAGCCAGGAGCGGTGACCCCAAGGGACCAAAGGGATGTTCCAGACCATATGGCATCATGCCCAGTGTATGAACTGCAGAGAGGAAGGAGGTAGGGCGAACATTTGGAATGATGGTGTTTGTCTTTCCAAGTCACTGTATGGGACATGGCCCTGCTCTCCTGGAAATAGCTGAACACCTGCCTGGCAATGGGAAGCAGTGAATTAATTCCCTGTTTAGCTCTGCTTTCCCTATTAAACCRTCTTTAACTCAASACACAGGTTTTCTGGTTTTACCCTTCCCCTGCTCTCCCTGATCTCACCGTAAGGAGAGTGAGTGAGATACTTAAACCACAACACTTGTACTCCACTTTWGTCTACAACACAAAGTTAACAAATGAGTTAATCAACACACAAAGGTTCAAGATTTATAACATCTTTAGAGACCAGTATCTATTTTTCAGATTTTATTTCAACGTTTTTGTACTTATCCYCTTACTCCATTACTAAGCTCAGGAAAGTAGCGTTATAGGTTTCCTAATTTATGCTCTTTTAACTTAAAAGTGGTTGAAGGCTGTTTTGTTGGTTTAGGCTTTTTCTTTTCAGCTGGAGAAGAACTATAACTGCATAGGAACCTAAATAATTTGAACATAATTTTATAATTCAATTTAGTAAGGTAAGTCCAAGCTTTCAAGAGTGGATACACACATATTGAAAACTGGAATTATGCAGTGACTTCAGACAGTATTATGCCATCRATGCAATTACAAGTAGTGTTTAGACACAGGCAGCAAGATTTCTTACATCTTTTTTTTTTTTAATTATGTAGTTAACTTTTTTCTTCAACCGAAAGATTCAGCAATTTCCTTCTGAAAAAAAACCAAGCTACATTCTTTACAAGGAAAAAAAAAGAAAATATACTAAGGTTTTTCTTCTCCTGCTTAAGAAAAATCAAACCTAGTCTAAGTTCAAACATTTTATTTTTGTCCAGCTACAAGGGAAAGGAAAGTGGTCCATACAGCTTAAGTACTATCACGACTGCAATTTAACAGCTGGATCATCAGGGATATTGAAGTCCCTCCCCATCAAACACAAAGAGCTGCAGTTGTGCTCAACACTGAATATGATACAGACTAGTGCCTGCAAATGAGAGCCYGCTGTGAGGACTAGTGTAATTTTTCTTGTTATTTTAATTGGGTCATACTTCCAAGGATTAGAGTAACTGTAGACAATTAAAGAGAGAGTTGACTTACTACATTCTGTCAGCTATAACAAAACAACACTGTAAGAGACATGAATAATTTTAAATGTACCAGTGTTGGTGCACTAAGCCGTGCCAACTGCATCAACTAGACCAATCACTTCAAAAACAATAAGAAAACTTCTAAAAGCAGTTAAGGAAAAGCAGAAGTAGTTTTTTTGGGTCACATAAAAAGCTGAACAAAATAGGAAATAAATGAAATAGTTCTATATTACAATGCACTACAAAGTATAACATACAAGCAAAAGTGATTTATTGTAATTACAAACCTAAGTATTCCATCAGCTGTTCAGCCGTTATGATTTCCATCATTGGTGGCAGTTTAATCTGTGAAAGTAAAAGTACATTCTGTTTAAAACACCAAAACACTAGAACTTAAAAAGCACCAACAYGYTATTTCTAGATGGAAAACTTCTGATTACATTTGCCTCACCAGTTCATAAGGCTATTAGCATACTGGACCTCTACTAAATAAGAGCTACAAGAAGAGATTAAAAACACAATTTGGTTTTTAGAGAAACCACGAGCACACGGCACTTTCTCCCACCTGCAGGTCTCTCTCTCCCTTTTCTTACCAAAACATGTCTCCACATCCCCATCCACTTCACAGGAGCTCACACCACTAGTTGCAGTGGCTCAACTACAAGCACCCAGTTTTTCACTTTCTCATCCTATCACTGTCCAACATCTTACCACTGAAAGTCTAGAAAGTTTGGGATTTATTATATTGGGAGCTTTTAATCAAGTTCCTCAATACAGATCACTGCTCTCACTGACACATACAGAAAGACATGATATGAGACCATTAACTCATGTCTGAGATTTAATAGGTTCCACCTACTTTTCCAGTTGTGGAGAAGGAAGAATCAGAAAACCAGGAGATGCAAGAACAATATACAWATAGCCTTTGATGGAGCACTCCAAAGTCAAAGAAATGGTATAGTAACACACTACTCTGTTCACATTGTGATGAAAAGCGTTTTCAATATGAAAACTGAGCTATTTTAATAACACTGCAGAGACAATGGGGTGTGATTGGGCTACATCTGTCTTATCATTTAAATTATACTTGACAAAAGGCAAATGTATTAAATATATGAAATCACAAGAAGTTTTATTAAATTTGGAAGAAAGAAACCCAAGTTAATATGGTTTTGTTTATACTCTAAGAAATATGTCCATACTCGGGTTACAGTTGGCATATGCCACACATTGATCAGTCCAGAGATGGTGGGCATATAAAGAAGCTGAAAGTACTGGGATCTGGAAAAGAAATTGAAGAAAAACACACACACAAGCATATGGGATTTTTTTTTAAATATTAAATGAGTGGCAACTGATTGTAACTTAGACAACTTCTTAACCTCTTCCCAAAACTAATGCTMAGTAGGATAAATGCTTTCATACTCTTTGATCCTGTTCATAATATTCATACTGAGTATTCACACAAATATATTGAGCCAAGTAARCAACAGGACTACAGGTTCAAAAAACTGCTTCTTAAATTCCCAGTTGGGATTGGCAGCATTCAAGTCTTACCAAACACAGACTGCACTCAACCCTGAGCCAGATCTGGCTCATCACAGTTCCTGAAGTACAGAAGAGCATCACCTCCACCAGCCCTGCCTGAAGTGCTGCTGGCCCTACAACAAGCACAGATGTGCCACCAGAATATGAAGGAAAATTAGCATTGCTCCCTCAACTGTTAACTGGCCTACTGTGCTGATTCTTTCAGGACTGAAGCTAGCTCTTTCTTATTATTTATTTAAACCTTTTGTATCAGCTCAGCCAGCATTGCTTGGGGATTTCTGTTCTGCACCACATTTGGARCCTCTAAACACGTCTACATGCAGAATGTCCACAAACAGCAACTCTAAAGCACAATTACATTGCTTACCTATATTTGAGCTTTAGGTACAAACAGCACTACACTGATTATTTCTATCACTGGTTACCAATTGGAACATTCCCCCACGACTGTAATGCTAACCTTTTTTTTTTTTTTTACTGTGGAAAAGGCAAAGTGGTTTTAATCCTATCTCCAGGATCTCTCAAAGCTGGATAATTTAACAAGCTACATCTCAAAATTAACTGCTTGATTAAATGCTAAACAAAGTTAATTAGTTACTTGATGGCATAATAAATATTAGGGCTGGCATGTGCAGTGGGAACTTGATCACACCTTTAAAGTGGGCTAATGGGGTTCCAAGACAGTTCAAAGTACTTCTGAACAGAGCTGACTTAAGGACATAGAGAGAACACAGTATTTCCCAGCTGTTCAGAGCTTCATTGCAAACACTTAAGTGGCAGGAAGCGCACAATGAAGAGGAAATGGGAGAGAAAAATACCTTAAAACTTAAGGGAGAGCAAAAAATCATAGAGAATCACAATCATTACCCAAATAAATCAACAGAAGAAAACAATGTAAACAACAGTAGTAAAAGCTGCTGTTGTCCATAACAATCTATTATTTTGAGGGACACATTTTCTCAAAAGGTTTCAGTGATCAGTTGCTAGATTTCACGTTAATTCCACATTTTAGGAAAAATGCATTTCTTCAACTCCCACCCATTTCCTGTACCCCTCTACTACGGTTTCCTGGTCTTTCAACCTGATGGCTCTTTCTAACTAGCTACATTTTACTTCCTACTCTCACAGGTAGGAAACATAGTACTTCTCACACAATTACAGCATGACATATAGTTGAGATACAKTTTAATTAAAAGACAAGACTGGTACAAATTGTCCTATCGAACAGATTGTCTAATAAAATTTACAGAGTTTCTATGCATTAGACTACAAAGCCAAAAACTACAKAATACTAATTTTCCACTGTATTATYCTAAACTACAGAAGGGCTTAAAAAATTAAGTGATGCAGTCATGCACAGAGGATAACACTTCTGAAATACTACAAATCTTGAAGGGGGCTAAGAAAATTTCTAATGTCTTGTATAATAAGTCTTATATAAGACTTATAGTCTCAAAACATGTTTATCTAAAACATGCCACTCCTCTGAACACAGTGTTCCAGAGAGGTAAGGGTAGGTTCAAGCAGCTTYGGCAAAAGCCAATTAATATTCTTTGCAAGTTAAGTGCCCCCAGCCTGGCAGGAACAGTTCCGTGAAGCTGCCATAGGACAGCCCTACAGCGTGTGCTGCCACTCCACGTCCTCACTTCTCCTCCTCAGGCAGGTTTCCCTCAGCCCCTGGGAGCGGGCACAGGCGCAGGCCCC